CAGATTGGCAGAGTAATTTTTAAAATGACTTAACTCCATACAGTCCACAAAGTGAGTCCATAAATTCACTTTAAATATGATGATATATGCAGGTTCAGAGTACAAAGATGGTAAAAAGACATATCCCACGCAAATGTTAAGCAAAATAAAGTAGAAGAGGCTATGTAAATATCAAATAAATTTGACTTCAGAGTAAAGAAAATTGACAGGGACTGAAAGGAACATTATAGAATGATAAAAGGGTCAATCCACCAAGAGGAAGATGTAACAAACCTAAAAGTGTAAGCACCAAAAATAGCAGTGGTTTGAGTTCTACAGTATATTATCTCGGGATGTATAATACATTTCCCCAAAACTTAGTAGTTTAAAACAATAAGAAACATTTATTATCTTCTATGGGTCAGAAATTCAGGAGCAGCTTCGCTGGGCAGTTCTGACTTGGGAGTCTCTCATAAGGTTGGGTTAAGATGTTGGACAGGGCTGCATTCATCTGAAGGCTTGACTGGGGCTGGTGAATCGACTTCCAAGGTGGCTCACTCACATGGATGACAAGTTGGTGCTGGTTCGTAAAAAAAGGCCTCAGTTTCCCTTCAGAGGATACTTGAATATCCTCATGACATGGCAGCTGGCTTCCCTCAGAAGAGGATGTATTCAAGGAAGAAGTCACAATACCTTTTATGTCCTCATCTCAGAAGTCATAAACTGTCACTTCTACCACTTTCTAGTCATTGGAAACAAGTCATTAAGTCTGGCCTGCATTCAAGGGGAGAAGAATTTAGTTCTCCATTTTATTTTATTTTTTATTTTTTATTTTTTTAATTTAGAGAGAGAGAGCAGGAGAGAGGGAGAGAGAGAGGGGGGAAAAAAAAAACCCCAAGCAGGTTCCATACTCAGTGCAGAGCCTGCCATGAGGCCCAATCTCACAACCCTGGATCATGACCTGAACTGAAATGAAGAGTCCAACGCTCAACCCCAACTGAGCCTACCCAGGCACCCCTGGTTCTCCATGTTAAAGGGAAGAATAATAATTTGGTGACATATTTTAAACCACCACTTCTGGAAGCCAGGCATGCTCGCTTAACCTCCCCTCTCTCAGATTGATTCACTGAGGTCTCTAGAGCAGATGCCTCACTTGACTGATCTGAATTTCCATGAGTTCAGGGTTTCTTTGACCCTTGTCTCCACAGCTGAAAATGGAGATTGCTTGGGGACAAAGAGAGACACCAAGCCAGCCTGGCCCAGGCCGCCTTTAACCACTCTGCACCTCCAGCCCCTCGCCACCTCCTTTGGACCTTCGAGTGCATCCTTCCTATTTCCAGGTGTCTTCTAGATGTCAGGCTGGCTGATGCTGTCTCCCAGTGTCCTGCAAGGGACAGCAAAGCTCTGTGAGGCTCAAGCACACAGTGGCTCTGTGTCTAGTTTTACGTCTGCATCTATAAATTAAGCGTGATTTTGAATCTGAGCTCCTTCATCAGGGAAGAGTTTGGGGAGGTATGTAATGTCTCTGAGAGATGCCTTGGGTCAACTTCAGAGTGTTTCCACTGTGGAAGGCCACGTCACTGAGCCCCTTGTCAAGACACCTGGGAGAGCAGAAGGTTCCACCCCAGCCCCTGAGCTTGGCAGAGGCTTATCAGCTGCCCACCCCAGAAACTGCTGCTTCCTCGGAAGGGGGAGGGGTGGCTGCCTGCTGAATGAAGTCCCTATGCTCACCTTGCGAGCATGCACACCTCCAATGTTCACATCCGTGTCCCCATTTCTAGATGAAAAGTGCCACTCTGGGAGGCACAGAACCCCGCCTGGGGCTCCACTCTGGAGCAATACACCTCCTTCCCTCCCAGCAGCAATCACTGGCCCCCTCCCAACCGTGTTTTCCAAACCGTGGTTTGGGCCACTTTATTTCCAAGGAGGGTCCTCCGGGAGGCGAACGTGAGCGGATTCTGAAGCGCTGTCTGTGGGGTGACCGCGCCTGAAAGCCCCTTCCTCCATAGCTTCCTCCTCTGCCGAGTGTTGGAGGCGCCTAAGGGGCTCATCATCACTGCCAGGAGTGACCTGGAGATCCAGGCCCCTTGAAGCTTCCTCAAAATAAACGGGTCCCTCCTCTCTTGACTTCTCACTGCGTTTACCGCACACCATCCGATGAGAGGAGAAAGGCGAGTTTGTGCCATGTTCCCGTTTCAAAAGACCGTTGGTGACGAGGAGGGGACAGAAGCACCTTACAGAAGTGAGATGTGCAACGATTAGGAAGTGCGGGGCAGGAGCGAGTGGTTTCCATAAACCAAATATTCTCTGGTAAGGAAGAACACGAGAGCCTGGTTTGCAGGTGACAGGGGTACAGGAGTGCGCGGCAAAAAGGTAGTTGTTACTATTTGTATCCTTTTGCAGGACCCAGAAAAGCTTGCTGCATCCATCAGTGTTCTTAAATGAGGTGGGTCCTTCACTGGGAATGGTCCTCAGAGTTTGCACCCAGCGCTGGGCAGGGCCCTCTGTTCCCCTGAGTGCCCTTTGGGGGTCTAGACACAGAGTCTGGACGTCAAGAAGAGAAGCATTTGCCACCAGGCTCAATGGCTCAGGCACAAGAGCTGGCTCTTACTTTTGAGAATCCTCATTTGAAGTCCCCAAATCGTAAAAGCTGGCACATTGAAAGTCACAAATTCCCAGCGCTTACAAGCCTCTGCTCGATGTAAGATACAAGAAGAGAACAGAAACACACATTTTATTGGGGCGTTTGGGTGGATCAGTCGATTAAGCGTCCGACTTCAGCTCAGGTCATGATCTTACGGTGTCTGGGTTCGAGCCCCGCATCGGGCTCTGGGCTGACAGCTCAGAGCCTGGAGCCTGCTTCGGATTCTGTGTCTCCCTCTCTCTCTCTGCCCCTCCCCTGCTTGCACTCTCTCTCTCTCTCTCTCTCTCTCTCAGTCTCTCTCTCAAAAAATAAAATAAAACATTAAAAAAAAAAGAAATACACATTTTACAAAAACATTTTTTTTGTGACATGGCTATGTTGGTAGCTCCAGATAGCTCATTGACTGGACATGTCCTGCCTAGGGGACAACAGGGAGCTGATCCCATTACAGAGACTTAATCCCACACAGACCAGGCTTTGACCCTGGGCTCAGGAGCTAAACAGTCAGCCTCATTAATTTGAGACATCGGAAAAAATAAAAACCAGCTTCAGGATTGACCGTGAGGTTAGAATGCGACTTTGACTCTTGTCATCTGCCCACGCCTGCGCTGTGGGGGTGGGGTAGGTATTCTTCCGGCCCCCCCTGAGATGGACTTCCTTCCTCACCCGCTTGTGCGGGTCAATCCGGTGGCTGCTGGCAAACTGGGTCTCTGGGGGGTGGGATAGAGGGGGCCTGATTTGTAGCCTTTGCTGATTTCTGTGGTCTAAAGACTCCCACCGTGGCCAATTTCAAGCTACCAACAGTTTAATAGCTCGCGGGTCAAGTTCCTGAATATTTAGCAGTCGGGTCTCAGGCAGGAGTTGGTTCTGACCAACTGATCGGTGTCTGACTCATTCAACATTCAGGCAGTCCACAAATGTCTGGTGAACACTGTGTTCGTTTCCTTTTTTCTTCGCTGAAGCGTGACATACAACGCTCTGTTAGTTTCAGGTGTTCAGCGTAGGGATTCGAATTCACATGCATTAGGCAATGCTCACTGCGCTAAGTCCGCCTACCATCTGTCACCATACAACACGCTTGCAATATTATTGACTGTATTCCCTAGGCTGCACTTTATATCCCCGTGATTTACTTATTTTATAACTGGCATCTTTTACCTCTCAATCCCCTTCATCTGCTTTGCCGTATTTGTTTCTCTTGCTGCCGCAACCCAAGTTTCACAAGTGTAACCGTTTAAGACCGTGCTCATCTACGTGTTCACAGTGCTGCTGGCCAGAAGTCCAGCGTGGCATGGCTGGATTCTCTGCTCAAGGTCTCCCCGGGCTGAAATCAAAGTAGTAGCAGGCCTGAGGTGCCCATGTGGGGCTAGAGGTCCTCTTCTGGTTTTTGCGGAATTCAATTCCTTCCCTTGCTTTCCACGTGGTGTCCTCTTGAGGGGCCCCAGCAACAGAGGGTCAAGAATTCATTCTAATTCCTCTGACTTCCCCTTCTGCCACATCTGTCTGACTCTTCTGCCTTCCTCTGTGTGTAAGGGCTCATGTGGTCACTCTGGGCCCTTCCCGAGAATCCAGGATAATCTCCCTATTTTATTTATTTAACTTTTTTTAAGCTTCTTTATTTTTGAGAGACAGAGACAGAGTGCTAGTGGGGGGAGGGACAGGCAGAGAGGGAGACACAGAATCTGAAGCAGGCTCCAGGCTCTGAGCTGTCTGCACAGAGCCTGACGCGAGGCTCAAACCCATGGACTGTGAGATCATGACCCAAGCTGAGGTCGGATGCTCAACTGACCCAGGCACCCCGGATCTCCCTATTTTAAATTAAGTCATGGGGTGCCTGGGTGGCTCAGCCGGTTGAGCGTCCGGCTTCGGCTCAGGTCATGATCTCACAGTTCGTGGCTTTGAGCCCCGCATCAGGCTCTGTGCTGACTGCTTGCTCAGAGCCTGGAGCCTGCTTCAGATTCTGTATCTCCTCTCTCTGTCCCTCCCCCGCTCATGCTTTGTCTCACTCTGTTTCTCAAAAATAAATAAATGTAAAAAAAAAAAAAATCTTTACATTAAGTCAGGAATCTTAATTACATCGGTAAAGTCCCTTTCGACATTCATGGGTGTACCACCAGAGGGCAAAGGTCATGGGAGCCAAAATTCTGCCTACAGGTGCCTACCATGTACTAAGCACCATTCTTAGCATTTGGGAAACGTCAGTGAATGAAACAGACAAATGCCCTACCTTCACAGAGCTTACATTCTAACTAGGGGTATAAAAACACATAAGGCTTCCAGCCACATGTACACTCTCATAGTTCAGATTTCTTTCAGTTTGGGATTAAAGTTCTGCCTCTACCCCCTTCACCCCCCCCCCTTTTTTTTTCCTAACCAGAGAGGCCCAAGAATTTGTGGAGAAGTATGAAGGAGCCTTAGGAAAGGGGAAAGGCAAGCGACTCTACGCCTACAGGATGCTGATGGCTAAGGTGGGTGATAGAGAGGCAGCAAACCCCGGGGAAGGGCTTGCTCAGCTTCTGAACCTGGGTGACATCACAGGCACCTGCCAAGCCTCTGCATTTGTGGCCGGCTCCCCCCCAAATCCTCAGCGCGAGGTCCAGCCGACTGACCGATTTGTCCGGGAAAGGAAACCAACTGTTTCCTGTCAATTTCTCTACATTTATCTGTGAGGGCTCCGGTGTATCTGAGACTCATTTCCTCCCCAGTGAAGAACTAAGCTCACAAAATTGATGAGGTTAAAAATAATAATAATAATAATAAAATAAAATAAAATAATTGATGAGGTTAAAACCACTGGGATCTTATTTTCCAAGCCCCAAATCAGGACAGTTCGTTTGATAAATCATCTATTTTTATGCAACACCTTGAGCGTTTTTTCCTGTATTCCCTGTTCATGGGTGTGTTTGAGTTTTAACTTTTTCTTGGGGCCATTTTGATATTTCGTATTCTTCCCAAAACTCAATCCTTTAATTAAGATCTTCGTATGTATTACCAGAAAGTTGCAGGTGGGGGTCCCATAATTTTTGGAACTACTTTCTGTGTATGTTGGGTTGGAGTCTTTTTATTCCTAATATTCTCTTTTCTCCTTTTCCTTAAAATTTTTTTAGGTTTATTTATTTATTTTAAAAGGCAGACAGACAGAGAGGCAGAGAGAGAGAGAGAGAGAGAGGGAGAGAGAATCCCAAGCAGGTTCTACACGGTTAGCACAGAGCCCGAGGCAGGGCTTGAACTCACAAACCGTGAGATCATGACCTGAGCTGTTTTTTCTCCTTTTTCAATTTTACTTGACCAATAACTATCTTTGGGTCACTTTATTAATTTGATCTAGAGACTATTTACCACTTAATAACTGCACACTTAGGTCTCCCCCCACCCCCGGCCCCACCCCAGCTGAGGAACGTGCTCTTCAAGCATATCTTTGCTAAATGATTCTGTTTAATCGTGTTTCCCTGCAAATGGTTCTAGTTCCTTCCTTAGGAAAAAGATGGCTGTCCATCCTCTGTGTTTACCTTCCCTCATTGTTTTAAATTCTTTACTTCCTCTCTTTGCATTCTCAGAAATGTCTCAGGTTTATTCTCAATATCACTGAACCCATTTTCTTCTGCTTCAGTTATAGGCTTTATTATATTATTATAATGTTTCTTCTCCTTCAATTACTGGGCTTTTAGTTACCTTGTAATCCTTCCATGCTTCCCTTACATTCTTTTTGAAAACTCAAAGTGTTATCCTTTACTTAGAAACCACATTTCTTGGGGCGCCTGGGTGGCGCAGTCGGTTAAGCGTCCGACTTCAGCTCAGGTCACGATCTCGCGTTCCGTGAGTTCGAGCCCCGCGTCGGGCTCTGGGCTGATGGCTCGGAGCCTGGAGCCTGTTTCCGATTCTGTGTCTCCCTCTCTCTCTGCCCCTCCCCCGTTCATGTTCTGTCTCTCTCTGTCCCAAAAATAAATAAACGTTGAAAAAAAAATTAAAAAAAAAAAAAAAGAAACCACATTTCTTGTATCCTGTTGTGAATGTAGGCTCGTTTGTCAAAAATTAGTTATGGAGCCTAGAGGCAAGGCTTTTCAAAAGTTACAAAGAGGTGTGTCCCCTTTTCCTTGTTCTGCGATACTATTTTTCAGGCCTCGCTGGCTGTTTTAGTCATCCAGATCTGGATTTCATGCGCTGACAGAATGGGTAGCTTGCCTGTGTCTTATTTGCCCGCTATCAGAAAGCCTGTTTCTGTACCCAGCCGGAGACACAATATCTCATCGCCCAGTCCTGGGAGACCAGCTCCCGCCTCACCTGGCTCTGAGAAAAGGAGCTGAGGTCTTCTCCTGCCCCCATCCCATCCCAGTTTTCTGATTCTCTAAACCAATGAGGGATAAGAGCTTCACTACAGAGCTTCCCCAAGGCCTTCTCGGCCTCTGCCCCACCTGTAGGGCATCACTTTTCAGGCCGAGATGCCCACAGCCTTGAGGGGCTGTCAGCTGGTTGCCGAGTGATCAACGAACTGGCAGGCGGTCCCCAGGGGCCTCCCTGAGCCATGTTCATTACCCCTATTGGCCTCAGCCTTGCAAGCCTACATTCTGTACTGATTTTATCAGCACCCCGACAGGGGATTGATCTCTCAAGGGAGGACTCCTATTAATAAAGCTTCCGAGACCGATAGTTAAAACCTGGTGGTGGATTATTAATTTACAAGGAGAAATGACCGATGACAGAACTAGAAATGCAAAGTCCACATCAGCAGTGCCTTTTATTTTTGATAGTAGAGTTACTTACACGGGTGGCTAAACCATAATCCCAATTCCATTTTATTAATTTGCAATGACAAAACACTGCGTTCGAAACCAAAATCCTCACAGCCCAGGTGACGGGCAATGCTTTCCTTAGAGACAGGCTTACATAGAAAGCCAAATAAGCCAAAGATTAATTTTTTTTAATGTTTGAGAGAGAGAGAGTTCGAGGCAGAAGAGGGACAGAGAGAGGGAGACAGCGGATTCAAAGCAGGCTCTCGAGATCATGACCTGAGCTGAAGTCAGACACTTAACCAGCTGAGGCACCCCAAGCCAAAGATGAATTTTGAGCGTGGAATCAGAGCTAGGAAAGGCAGATAAAGCCATGGGACTGGAGTGCCCAATGTCCACAGTCTGCTATTCCCCTTCTGGTCTTAGGGATATCTCTGCCATTGTTCTCAACCAGGTTTTGCCCTCGGCTCGTCTTCTCTGTTGCATCTGTGACCACCACCCTCTTCCACACGTGGTTTCCTTCCTTATATAGCAGTCATCCCATCGGGTTACGGTCAAAGCCTACAGATCTAGAAACTCGTCTGATAAACTTCCCTTTTGATCCTTTAGTGAATTTACATGGGAAACCTCATTTCCTTCAGGAACATGTTCTTAGGAGACCTTTATCATAATGGAAACTGACCTTAGGGTCTTCTCCCTCCTACCTCCTTGTCCTGTTTTCTGTGAGTTGTTGTTTCTGTTGTTGTTGTTCAATTCCAAATGGATTCATTGCCAGGGAGTGGGGTTGTTGGAGAGCAGCCCCTTGAGAGCTAACCAATTTTCACCCAACCAGCAGCCAGACAGCCACTCAAGTTCCTGACTGGTATGAACTCTGAGTGTTGGACCTGGAAACAGACCATGGAAAGAAGCAAAATGCCTTTCTAACTCCTTTCAGCAAAAACAAAAAACAAAAACAAAGAAACGGGCTGTTGTTTCACCAGGAGAAGAATGGAAGCCATGGTTTGAGGGGGTTTACTCATTTTACCAGCACCGCATTGGAGCGACAATTCCTATCAGATTTAGACACCTGAGTGTCTGCTAAATGTGGGTTTGAGAGCTACGAGACTTCTTTTTGCCCTTCAATTTTTGTTTTAAGATTAAAAAAAAAGTTGTGTCAGAGGCTGCTAACCCAATTTGATCCCCCAAACCACATGTCCTATACAGAATTCCTAAATTCACATATACACGGTCCAAACTTGACATTTTATCAGCGCCACAGACCAACACAAGACTTTATGTTGTCCTGGCTTCTCTTACCCTCTGCTCCTGATTTTGGTGGTGATGTGTCAGCATCAGTGTGTCCCCCCAGGCCCCAAGGCGGGATGGTAATGAACTGAGTGTGTTGCCTGTTTAATTTCAGAAGTGGGTCAAGTTTAAGAGAGACTTTGATAATTTCAAGACTCAGTGTATACCCTGGGAAATGAAGATCAAGGACATTGAAAGTGAGTATTCTGGTGTCAGCGTTTGTAGCTGGTGTGCTAGAGTTTTCCAAGGGCTTGGGTTGCGTTCGTGACCAACTGATCAGATTCTTTCATAGGTTCTGTTGTACTGGAAAACAGAATGGGCTTGGAACTAGTCAGACCAATATTTAAACTGTGTTTCTTCACTGTCTGACTGTGGGAGTTTAGGTAGAGTGGTTAATCCCACAGAGCCTCAGGTCATTTATCTGGAAAAAGAAAATGGAGATGAGAACATCACGTTCCACAGCTGATGTGAAAACTGAATCCGTCACCCACACAAAGCGCTTGGTAGTGCTAACGTCCTCCTTCAGCGATGCTTAAATCCTACCGTCTTTTCTCTCCCCAGGTCACTTTGGTTCCTCAGTGGCATCGTATTTCATCTTTCTCCGATGGATGTATGGAGTTAACCTCGTCCTTTTTGGCTTAATTTTTGGCTTAGTTATAATCCCAGAGGTAAGACAAGGGCTTCCTATATCTTCAGATAGCGTTGAGGCTTATCATGACACCACCCTCTTTAATCAAATACTCTTCTGTTTTACAAAGAACCAGTCGTTCATTTTAAATTCTATACTCCCATCAATTGCCCAGATAGTTCGGGACAGAGGATGGAACCAAATACTTCTGTTCCTAATTAAGAAGTGGACCCCACACTTTTCTATCTTTTGTTTTACTTTAAGATCAGTAGAGAATTAATATCTTAGTAAGGTTTTGTTTGTTTTACTCTGAAAAAAAAAAAAAGAGATGGAATGCATTCTATCATAATTTATTACAAAACAAACAAACAAACAAAAAATGAACCCTCACGAGGCGCCTGGGTGGCTCATTCAGTTGAGCGTCTGACTCTTGATTTCAGCTCAGGACATGATCTCACAGTTTGTGGGTTCAAGTCCCACGCCAGGCTCTGTGCTGACAGTGAGGAGTCTGCTTGAAATTCTCTCTTTCTCTCTCTCTCTCTCTCTCTGCCCCTCCCCCGCTCATGCTCCCTCTCTCTCAAAATAAAGAATGAAATAAACTTTTTTTTTTTTTAATTTTTTTTTTCAACGTTTATTTATTTTTGGGACAGGGAGAGACAGAGCATGAACGGGGGAGGGTCAGAGAGAGAGGGAGACAGAGAATCGGAAACAGGCTCCAGGCTCTGAGCCATCAGCCCAGAGCCTGACGCGGGGCTCAAACTCACGGACCGCGAGATCGTGACCTGGCTGAAGTCGGACGCTTAACCGACTGCGCCACCCAGGCGCCCCAAGAATGAAATAAACTTTAAAAACAAAACCCTCACATTTAAATAGCACTCCTCACTGTTCTCCCACTATACCCTTATCACAGATGTAAGTACATCCTTACCTACTGATGAGTAATTGAGAGACAAAAAAGGAGTAAGCAAGTTATGTAAAGTCACACAGTAAGTTTGCAGTGAATGAGATCCCAGGTCTCCAGTGTGGGCCTGGAATCTTTCCCAAGGGAAATTTAACAAATTAGAAGATTTCTGTGAGGAATACCATCAAGCATTACAGGACCAATATATGACTGAATAAACAGGGTGACTTATTCTTGGAAGGGAAACTTAATACCGTAAAAAAAAGTCAATTCTTCCTAAATCAATATGTAAAGTTCATACAATTCTGATTTTTTTAGAATTAAGGATGCAAACACAGGCATATATATTAAAGTATTGATAACAGAACTAGATACATGCAAAGAACTAGCAATATTTCTAATGTCCAACAAAAGGTAATTTGTTAAGTAAGTTTATGGTAGATACATGTGGTTAGATATTTTGAAGTCATTTTATTTTGAGACATACTACCTGCCGTATAGAATTGGTCATAAAACGGGGCGCCTGGGTGGCTCAGTCGATAAGCGTCCGACTTCGGCTCAGGTCATGATCTCGCAGTTTGTGAGTTCGAGCCCCACGTCGGGCTCTGTGCTGACAACTCAGAGCCTGGAGCCTGCTTCGGATTCTGTGTCTCCCTCTCTCTCTGCCCCTCCCCCACTCACACTCTGTCTCTCTCACACAAATAAATAAACATTAAAAAAATTTTTTTTAAAAGAATTGGTCATAAAACAATAAAACAATATTATGCTAAATAACCACACTAATATATATTTTATTATATATGTTTATATATTTATTTGATATTCATATTTATATATGAATTTATATAACTATACATTTATATAATATAAATGTATACAAATATATATAATAAAAATGTATACAATTATATATAATATAAATTTATATAATTATATATGTAATATAAATTTATATCATTATATGTATAATATAAAATTTTATACTTATATATTATGTTTATATAATATAAATGTATATAATTATATATAATAAAAATGTATATAA